CTGGACCTATTTTCTGTCTAAGGTTCAGTTCTGATACTCCCTATTCAAAAGCACCCATAGAAAGCTTAAGAAAATTCTGGGTCAGATACCCAGATGGTGCAAATGTGCATCGCTCCATTGAAGCCTAATTCCTGACTCTGTCACTGACTTGCTGGGTGACCTTGCGAGAGCCATTTGCATGTCTCTGGGCCTCAGTTTCCCCAAACCCACCTTTGTTAAAGGTCTACAAAAGAGAGGGCCAGATCCTCAGCTGGTGTGAACTGGCATAGCGCTGGTGAAGCTGGTGTAAACTGGCATAGCTGCAGCCACATTCAAACTACATCGGTTTATGCCAACTGAGGATCTGATCCACAATCTTTTTGCAAGGGCAGGCACATCCAGGGTGGAAAGAAGGAAGACAAAACTTCCTTATATGGGGTGGTGGTGAGGTAAAGCCCTGCCCCTTATGTCAAACATTTTTAAATTGAGTTGTAGTAACTGGAAGCATTTACTGCTGATGTTCTGTGTTATGGGGTGTGGGTGTCTGCTTTAGAACAACCACCAAATGAACTTTATATCTTTTATATAGTGCCTTTCACCCAAGCATCTCAAACCACTGTACCAAGGTGCGTGGTATTAACCGTATTTTCTCAGAGGAGGAAACTGACACACAGAAGTGAGACAGGGAATTAGTGGCACTCAGAAATAGAACACTGATCTTCAGACCCCTAGCCGGGTACTTTGGTGACTAGGCACCGATGCCTCCCTACTTTCAGCTTGGAGGCAGGATTTGGGACCAGACATGGCTGCAAGCTGAACTTGAACTTTGACCTTCAGCTCCGTCAAGTTACAATACATACAGCTTTCAGACTAGCTTGGCAAAAAGCAGTTTTTACTGGAAGGAACCACTTTAATTATTGGCCGTTTATCACAAGTCACAAAACAACCCCAGATAAACCCCCCATTTTTCTGTCTTGTCATCAGACAGTCTAACAATGACAGTTAACCCATTGTCATCTATATGGGAAATCAAAATTTCACTCTGCTCTACCAATAAATGGCTACACAGGCCATGCACTAGCTTAATTTAAAGCTGTATGTTTACAAAAATGCTTCATCCCTGCCTGGGAGATATCCTTGAGGGAAGATAGGGCAGGAAAGGGGGAACCCAAAGGGGTTTCAGAAGGGGGTGGGGGAGCAGCTTTAAATTTCACCAGAGGCTCCAAAACCAGAGGAAGCTACAGCAGGGATAAGCTTATCAGCAAATCCTCCAGATGCCCTAGCCACACACCCTCCCTGACTAGCACTGTCCACTTGTTGAGCTGAGCTGGTCCCCCACATCTTCCCCTCTAGGCTGCTACCATTCTCCACAGCTGAAATTGCCCTTCCTGTCAGACTTTCTGCTGCTGGGGCTCTGTGCCAAGGCCTATGCCTGCAGTGTAGACACAGAAATGAATCTGCCCAAGTTTTTGAAAAGAACTTGCAGAGCACAGGCACCATCTTCTTCCATGCCCTGGGGGTGCTCACCACTCCTGTGCCCCACCTCTTCCCACCTCTTATACCCCCGCCCCACCTCTTCCCGCCCAGTTCCGCCCCCTCCCCTGAGCGCACCCCATCCCTGCTCCTCCCTCTCCCTCCCAGAACCTCCTGCACGCCGTGGAACAGCTGATCAGTGGGCAGGAGGCACTGGGAGGGAGGGGAGGCACTGATCAGCAGGGCCACTGGCGGATGGGAGGCGCTGGGAGTCTGGGGGGGAGCTGGCTGCCAGTAGGTACTAAGCACCCACTAATTTTTTTCCATGGGTGCTTAGTACCTACTGGCAGCCAGCTCCTGTCACGGAGTCAGCGCCTACGTTGCAGGGCACTAGCCATATGAACGGAAAATGCTGAGTGCATAACAAGCCAATATACTTAGGGTATCTGCCTTCTAAGGAAAATACAGAGGTTTCTGTTGGCACAAATGTTGAAAGCAAGCAAGCCATAGAAGGCAAATGGGACAGAAAAAAATATTAGCTTTATGGGAGCTTAAATAGGTATTTATATGGATCCCTCTGTCATAAAGTCCTAGTAAGCTCCCTCTCACAGTGGCGCTTTAGATCGAACAGAAGGAGCCCTTGAAAAGTTGACTCATACAACTGGCGACAGAATGATGCAAGTTCAGATCACAGCATAACTGAATGGAAGTGCTCAGTGGGGGGAATACGTGCTGTGAAGCATGGTGAAAATTAACATGGGGAAACAGCTTGTTACATAGTTTCACCATAACGATAGGATTAACCCTCTGACTACTACCAGTATGTTCCACTCTGGTGCACTCAGAGATATGCCTTATTAAAGTGTTTCCATAATAGGCCAATATGATAGCATCTGAGGCAGTAGATTCCCCCTCCCCCTCCATCCCAACTGGGTAACCACAGTTCTCTGTGTTGCTGAATTAAAATTTAATTCAGAGACAATAGGATTGCCTCCAGTATGCATTATGTATCTGCATCATTCATGAGACCACCTTTAAGTCTCTTAACTTCAGCTATTGGGATTTCATCCAGGTATGGGAAAATTTCTAATGTATTGTGCCCAAAGGGTCACCACTCAGATACATTGTTATAATTACCAGGATCACCAATGTTTTGGGATAGATACACCTGTATATATGAATGCTGCAGCTGTTCTAGCCCAGGGCTTGTTTTAGGAACAAACTACTGCTGTGAGCCAATTAGAGATAATAGCATGAAAATTTTCTGCAAGGAGTTCAGGTATCCCAGTGATAGGTGTGATATAATTACCTGAGTAGACGATTTAATTAAGTTAGTATTGTTTATAGTGAATTTTTGCCCAGTGAACCAAGCAAATGGGTTAAAAGAAGCAGGGACAAAAATTTCAGATGTGGCCTCTGATTCTGGATACATCAGTTTTTGGATCCCCAATTTAGGGTCCACCTTTGGCCTGCTTTTCAGAAGTGCTGACCACATGCAACACCCGTGCCTTCAGCTGACCAAGGTGTGTCAAGTTGGGCACCCAAAATCAGAGGCAATTTTGAAACTTGTTGGACCAAAATTAAACAGAGGAGACCATCTCACTGCTGTGCCAAGAACAAACACTCTGATCATTAGAAAATATGAGTAGTGCAGGGCTCAGGTTGAATTCCTAATCCACTTGAACCATCCCTGTTCCAATTTGACAAAGGAGCTTGACTTTCAGCAAGCTCAGGTTGGGCAGCCTTGTTTTGTTGTGATGTGATATTTACTTTGTGGTGTTGTGACCTCTGCTCAGAAGAGCCCAGTATCCAGGTGCTCAGATCTTGAGCACCAGGAGGAGGAGGTCCGCTTCCCTATGTAGCCAGCCTGTTCCTTCAACCCAAGTTCTGGAGAATGGCTCTTCTGGGATGGTTCCCGGGGATACCCAGGGGGTGTGAGGCACCTCACTACCACCCACCCTTAGTGTGAGGAAGCCTTTTCTGTACCTGCTGTGGGTGAGCTCCCCGATTCCACCAGCCATGGGCAACGCAAGCAGCGCCCTCTAAGCCTCACAGACCCTACTGTTACTCTACAGACTAGCAATTGGCACATCCCAAACTCCCAGCCCTCTGTCTCCCTGAAGTGTCCAGCCCCTGTTCCTTTGGACACACACAGTATTCACAGATTCACTGCTTCCACAGAAACAGTACACCCCAGCTCTGCCAGTTCCACCTCACATCACCGCTCTGCTTAACTCACAGCACTTAGATATGTTTACAGTGAAATCAAGTGTAAGTTTATGTAAAAAAGCCTAGAGATTCAAGTGTTAGCAAGAAGTAGTATTGGAAACAAATGGTTACACACAAAATCATAACACACATTCTAGAGCCTAGACTTAATTAACAAGATCCTCTCATGTCTTGTAGAATATTGCTTACCCAAAATCCTTGCAGCACTTTACAGCCAGGTTGGCTGTGACTTTCCTTTCATTAGACATGCATGCTGCCAGTTTGCCTCCTCGGTGAAGGATCCCACATGTTTCCTTCCACCCCAAGATATTCCATACCAATCCTTTGTGTTTATTCATAAATAGGACACACACAGCCTGTTTATTTCTCTCTTGTAGATTTTACAATCCTTAACCCCTCCCCAGGCTCCATTAGGCATACATTGTGAGGCATTCAATACTCAAATATCCAGACAGGGAGATAGGTGTCTATTACCTCCTGCCTGAAAGGAAGATGTCCGAGACATGTCATCTTTTGGTGATCTACCTTAACTCCAAGACCTTAAGGACCCAATTTTCAGCATAGACACACAACTCCTTAAATACTATCCGTACGTACGTGGCCTGGCTGTGGCTCTTCAGCCCCCGAGGCCCCACCCCTAGGGTGGAAGCTGGGTCCAGGTTGGGGTAAGAGCCACACGGGCAGCTGTGGGGAGCCACGGACCCTCCACCTGCCCTGGGCTGGGGACACAGGTGGCGGGGACACAGGCCGGGGGCTAGCTGTCGGACCCCTCCCACCCCGGGCAGGTAGAGGGGCCTGGGCTCCCCAGCCCAGCTCTGGCTTCCGGCTTGAGTAGGGGTGGGGCCTTGGGGAAGAGGAGGAGCAGGGGCGGGGCCACAGAGGGGGAGGGGCCTCTTGGCCCCCCACTTTTAGGAAGAATCCATTGCCCCTGCCACACCCCGCTTCTCATCCTGCAATCCCTAGCCTCCTGCACTGTGCACCTTCAAGCTTCTGCAACCAATGAGGCAGGGAACCTGTATAGTCAACAGCCTCACTTGTGACACAGCCCTGATTCATCCCTAGAGCACTGGATTATTATGTAACTCATTTCACATAAGGGGCCTGATTCTTCTCTCTCTTGAACCCCACAAAGACATTTACACATGTGCCAAGTGGGTATAAAACTCAATCGGACGATAATTTTCCTCTCCACTTCAGTGGGGCTATTACCAAGTACTACTCAATGTGAGTGAGTGAGTAGGATCAGAGCCCATAAGTGGTATGGTATCGATATGAAACAAAGAAATTGATTTCCCCCCCCCCTTTGTGTGTCTACATAGATTTTCTGGAAGTTAAGGAAGTTCACATGTTCAAGAGAGACCAGGATGTTAACAAGAAGGAGCACCATACTGACAAGTACTACCACCCTAAGTTGATTGTACGCCGTGGACAGCCTTTCCTTATCCAAATTGACTTCAACCGTCCTTACAATCCTGAAAAGGACCAGTTCTGGGTGGAATACCTTATAGGTAAGTGCCAAACAGGAGCTATGTAGTATTAGCAAAGTAAAGTTTATAGAATATCTATATCAGTCCCAAATAATATAGTATCTAAGGGCCTGATCTTCTTCAATTAAAGTCAGTGAGACAGTAGGATGTGCTTAAAGCTAAGCATATGCATTAAATGCTTTGCTGAAACAGGGCCTGAATCCGGCTAGCCTTACTCATTCATATAAGTCAATGGAACTACTCGTATGAGAAAGGTGAGCAGGGTTTGTCCCTCTATGTATATTCAAAAGCTGTACTTTACTATATTGGATTGCCAATGTTATCACTAGTTTATGTTTAACAGCAAAATGATAGTGGTGGTGGGCAGATTAGAAAAACTTGTTACAGTAACTCCTTGCTAACGTTGTAGTTCCGTTCCTGAAAAATGCTCCTTTAAGCGAAACGATGTTAAGTGAATCCAATTCCCCATAAGAATGAATGTAAATGTGTAAATGGGGGGTGGGTAGGTTCCAGGGAAATATTTTTTGCCAAACAAAAGACATTATACACACACACACACACACACACACACACACACAGAGTATAAGTTTTAAACAAACTAATTCTGTACACAGCAATGATGACTGTGAAGCTTGGTTGAGGTGGTGGAGTCAGAGGGTGGAAGACGGAGGGATATTTCCCAGGGAATGCCTTGCTGCTAAATGATGAACTAGTACTGGGCTGAACTCTCAAGGGTTAACACGTTGTTGTTAATGTAGCCTCACACTCTACAAGGCAACACGATTGGAGGGAGGAGATACAATAGACGCATGGCAGTGGCTGCAAACATTCCCTGTGGAAACTGAATGTGATGATGAACCCGTGCTATCCCACTGGAGTGCACCACTTCCACCACTTTCCAAAGTGCCAGAGGGTGCATGTGTGTGTGAGACAGAGACATACCCCATTTGTGTGTGTGTGTATGAGAGAGAGAGAGACACCGTGTGTGTGTGTGTGTGAGAGAGAGAGAGAGAGAGAGAGAGACATACTGTGTGTGTGTGAGGGAGAGAGATGCGCATCGTCCCTTTAAGTATGCTGACCCCACTCTAAGTACACTGCCTTTTTAAGTAGATCAGCAAGTTGAGACAGCAGCTGCTGCCAGCAAGCTCCCTCAGTCCTGAGCCCTGTCATGTCCCCCCCGCTCTGTGAAGATGGGGTACAGGAGCGGGGGAGGGGGACACCCTGACATCAGCACCCACCTTCCCCTCCACCCCCTGCATAGCAAGCAGGAGGCTCCCGACAGTAGCTCCAAAGCAGAGGGCAGGAGCAGCACACGGCTGTGGGGGGAGGGACACCAGAACTGCCCGGCAATTGATAGTCTGCTGGGCGGCTGCCACACAGGGAACTTAGGGGAGCTGATGTGGGGCTGCTGGCCCACCCTGGTTCCAAGCCCCCACCAGCTAGCTCCAATGGGCTGCTCTTCCTGCAAGCAGTGGACAAAGCAGGTGGCTTTGTCCACAACGTTATAAGGGAGCATTGCACAACATTAAACAAGCATGTTCTGTAATAGATCAGCAACGTAACAACGAAACGTTAACCGGGAGGACATTAAGTGAGGAGTTACTGTACTTGCAATTTCGGAGGATCTAGAGAAAAGAGGAAGAGATCGTAGTCAGGAGAAATGGCAGAAATGTGTGTGTTGATATAAAAAATAGTTCTATGCACAAGGGGAAAAGCAGAACAATAGAACTGTGAGAGTTTCTATAATGTGTACTTACTGCTCAATATATTAAACTGGAAAATTCTTAGGCAAGGGAAAAAAAGATTGCAACCTTGGAATCAGAAAGGTATTGCAATCATAAAGACCAGATCATGAGTCATCCTGCATGACTACACAGGAGAATAAAAGCAGGCATATGGTGATCCCTTGCACCAGATACTTCCATCACAGGGAGAGGAAATGATCCCCTCCCCCAATGCACCAGCCAGTGCAAACAGGGGATAGGCTGCAGGATATGTCCTTAGTAAAGAAGGGGGAAAGTGAGAAAGCAGACTGCAGGTCTGAGTCACAAACTGCTTCCCACTCTGCTTCTGGGACAGCGGAGTCGTACACTGCCCCATACAGAGGGCTTTTAATAAAGTCATAATTTCACCCTGAATTTTTTTTAAGACGTCTCTGTTCCTTCCTGTTATAGATTATGTATTAATTGACATTTAATATATACCTTCCTGAGAACTGCATTTTGAAACTTGTATTACTGATTTTTTTCTGCTCTTGGATTATGATCATGTATCCACTTATTAGATTTGTTACCTTTTTATGATAGACATATTCTTTTAAACATATACATGGTGAAGAAGTTGCAGTCTGCAATTCTGCCGCCCCCCCCCCCCCACACACACTCTGTTACTTCTCATTTCAGTTAGGGTTAGGAGGCATGTTGTGGTAGTCTAATGAGCTGATTGGCTAGAACATCCGTAAGTGCCTTAAAATTTAATATGCACAAAGATTATTAGTCCTTTTGGGGATTTAATTAAATTCAAGGCTTTTCCAATTCACCTTTATATCTTTAAAACAGTTATAGTTGGAAGAAGTGAGAAATGGAAAGTTTGTTTGTTATTGCATTGTGTGATGTATGATGAATAAAACAAAATTCAGAATTCTTTTTAAAAGTGGTATTTGTTTTAATTTTTTTATTGAAGAATTCTGAAACTTTTTAGATTCATTTCTCATAAATAACACAATGCAATAAAACAAAGTATACATGTGCATTGACAGGGCTCTTTCCCAGAATACATCTTCCAAGTTTCATACCATAGCTTCATGGGAATGCATAGTGTACTGGTATGCAAGGGGCACTGTCTGGTATTTCAGTGGTTGCAGAAGAATCTATGATCCAGGGCTCATTGAAGTCAGTGGAAAGACTTCCCCCTAGTTCACATTAGAGATGGATCTGAACACTGTGGAGAAGCTTGCAATACAAACCCAGTTCCACATCATAACTTTGCAATCGACTCCTTTCTTTATGATGAACCAAACCAAAACCCCAGAGCCAAACTTTTTTTTTTCTTTTTAAAGCTTTGGAGTGTTTGAAATCCAGATCCATCTGCTGGGGCTTGGGCTCAATTCTAGTGCGTGTTCTGTGTAATTCAGACACAAACATTGCATTTCCAAACTTCCAAATGCTCAGCCCAGCCATTGGCCTCTCTCATCCTGACCCTAGTCAGTCCCTCCCCCCAGTGCTGTGTTTGGACCAGGCCAGAGAGAAGTCACCAGCAAATAGCTACAGCAAACCTTTTCATTAAACAGGAGCCCAATGGGAAATGATAGTGACCTCAAACATTTAGAGGGATGAGCTAATGGACCTAGTCCTTTAGCTTAGGGGCAGCAGCACATGCTAGTCTCTGTATGTGGTCTGCCTGGTTGAGTGGGACAAATCCCTACCTTCTGCCAGTCAGAGACAGACTTGCTCAGTGCGGCCCTATCGATGAGTGGCAAATTATTTCCACAAAGCTAAATCCATATTCAGCCATCCTGCTATTTCTTGCTGAGCATCTTGTATGTAGTTCTTTTTTGCAGTCTCATGTTCGTAGGTTGCAATGGAAACTGAAAGCACTCCAGCACCTCTTAGGAAGCACTCAGCTGTAGGTAAGCAGGAGAACAAGGAGCTAGTTTTTATGAAGGAAGACTTAGCTGCTTTTCTCCTAGTGATTCAGAGTGCAGTGTTTCAGAGTCGCCATTCTTCCCGCATGATGCCTTTCCCTGAGGAGATGACAGAATTTCACAATACTTACAGTAGTGAGCATCCCTTGATTAGTGAAATACTTGATGGCAGTACACTGTTTAATACTTGATGCTGTTGGGCAGCAGTCAAATCTGCAGCGCATTTTCTGATCATGGCAGCAAGGAGCTGCTACTCTATCTTGTGATAAGCTTCCAGCCCTACTGAACTCACTGCCAGCACTAAGCAAGCTGAAATCCAGAGCACTGCTTAATACTCTGCACTCCGACAAATGTTTCTCTATAACCACGTGGGGGTGGGGTTTTATGTGGGCAGCAACAAAAAAAAACAGAACAGTACACATGGGAGGAGGAAGTCATGTAGGAATGCTAAGTTGACATTTCTTATTGGCAGTCTGTTTGCCTCTTGCTACTTCCTTCTAGTGGAAGGTTCAATATTTAATGATCTTGAGGGGACGGGGAAGAGGTTTCTCTACAAATACTTAGGAACAAACAGAGACTGCTGAAAGATTCTGCATTTTGTTTGCCATGAGGAAACTCACTCTGTCTGCATTTAGTGTCATGTTCCTGGGAAGCAGGCACCTGGCTTGCCAAATGAAAGCGGTACTTGCAAAGGAATTTGGCAGACAGCAGCAGCAAATCATTGCAACCCAAGCCAGAGCTTTGGTAGATAAGAATGTAAAAGGTATTGCATGAAAATAAGTGGTGATTCAGAGGAATGTTGTAGATTTGAAAGTTTTTAAGTTGATGGATATTAAGCAGCCTTACAGGTGACTGTAATGACCTGCAAAGATCCTCCTCTCCTCTATTCACAAACATGTAATTTAAAATAATCAAATAAGAGACCATCACAAAAGAAACCATCCCAGGTTTTACAGCAGATTTAATGCATTCCAGGATGGGGCTTGAGGTGTTTAACGCTCAATCCTGTGCGGTGCTGAGTATCTCAGCAGGAGCAGATGCCTTGGCTTCCAGTCAATTCAGTGGAGGTTGAGGATACTTAGCACCTTGCAGGGGGTTCTCTTTGCAGAATCAAGCCCTTAGTGAGTGCTATGTAGACACCAACATAGAACTTATGTGTTTAGTAGGGTGACCAGATGTTCTGATTTTATAGGGACAGTCCTGATATTTGGGGCTTTTTCTTATATAGCTGCCTATTATCCCCCACCCCCTTCCCAATTTTTCACACTTGCTATCTGGTCACCCTAGTGTTTAGTAAAGATGATTCTTGCTGACAGTAATTCAGCATGGAGGTTTAATAGATTAAAGACCAGTTCTGCTCTTAAAAATGACTCATAGG